TTCGGATCTTGCAGTTGTTGAAGAAGCTTGACCTTCGAAGGAACAACAAAGCCAGCACGAGTGCAGTAGCAACATTGGTCTTGTGAAGATATACCGTGCAGAAATTCACACAAGTGTAATTGTTGGTCCATTATTCAACAACCAACTACATAGTGGATTTTGAGGACGTAGAAGGATTACCCCACCTTCGAACCTCGTTAAAGTTTGCGTGTCTCTCTCTCTTATCTTTATTCTTACTTGCAAGTATATTAACTGTGAAAACTAACCTATCCATATTCATTACTGCTCACTCTACCCACCAAAATTCCGCACACAATCTAAAGTTCACAAGGACTCTAGATTAACACTCATTTTCACGTTTTCAAAAGAAACGAAAAAGATTTTAAATCTGTAACAAAGTCTATTCACCCCCCTCTAAACTTTGTATCTCACCACTTTGGGACCACCATGTTTTATAGCTATGATTATTATTTGCCTAACCCTCAAGTACCCAAAAGTTTTTGGGTACCAAAAAATTACTTTTAGATGCATATGTAGGTGTGTTTGAAGACTACATTTTTGTAGTGGATGCTCCAAGCACGAAACCTAATCATTTGCATCAAGGGGAGTTTGGGGGAATTGTTTTTGCTATAAACATGGTATCCGTTTTAGGGGGAACATACAACAATGATGTTTTGTATCAAACATAAATGCTCAGGGAGTACCTTTTTTTAAATAAAAAAAACTTTACTTAGTGCTTTTTGCTAATGCCAAAAGGGGGAAGTGTTTGGGTATATGCAACAAGTGAGGGGGAATCTTGTTTTCAAAGACGTAGGGGGAATTACCATTACTCTATCTTTGAAAACCCAACTTGGCCTGCATATCCCCTCCTTGGTTTGTCATTATCAAAAAGGGGGAAATTGTTGAAACACGGGTTTATCGTGTTTTCGTACTAAAGCCGTGTTTGTTTTTATGACAGGTTTTGATAATGTCAAACCACCATGAACGAGACAAGTTGTTGAATATACAAGGCAAGAAATAGATATAAGAAGAAAGCAAGAGAAAAAGGGCCAAAAGAAGACCAAGAACGAAGATCGTAGTCTTAGTGTCGTTGAGTCGGTCATAATTGTGATCAAGACCGACCCAACCTTTACGCCTTGGCTCTTTAGGCTAAAATTCTTTGCATTTCATTTCACACATCATAAAAATGTTTTTCAAACATGTGTAAATCATTAAAAACACTTGGTGTTCGCCCAAACCAAAAACCAAGCCATCCAGCGCTCGGCTTTCAGAAACTGGCATTCGGCTTTCAGAAACCGGCGTTTGGCTTTCGGTTATTGGCATTGGTTTTTGGCGTCTGGACCAACCAAGCGGTTTTCAACATTTTATGATTGGTTTTCACTCTTTGAAATGTTTAAACGGTTCTCCAACAAAAACACTTTGAAAACCATCTTTCGCTTTTGGCCGTTTGACAAAAGTCACTCAAAACGGCGTAAACTTGGCGAGCCGTGGTTTTCACTCAAATGACGTGGTTTTTAAAGTTTCTCAATTGATTTCTTAGCAAAATACATCAAAAAAGTGTTTTAAACACTTGGTTTTTACTTTGGAGAACTTTGCATTTTTCGGTCGGGTTTCAGTGCCGGTCGGCTAAGCCATGGTTCTGGACTAGCCATCTACCCAGCGATGGTAGATTTCACCCATGCATGGGTAAGTGATCCCGGGATTCCAGAATCATGCCACCCAGCGATGGGAAGATCTTCCCATAGATGGGTAAGCAGTCTCTCAGCAAAACCGATTTCCAGAACCATGCCAAACAGCGATGGGAAGTTCTACCTATCGCTGTTAAAGCCTTGGTCCAACATCAACACAAGGCAGAATGCCCTTACCCAGTGATGGGAACCTTTACCCATCGATGGGAACCCAGCGATGGGAGGGCATACCCATGGCTGGTTAGGCATGACCGTTGTGAGTCATTTAAGGCTGATTCTTTCCTTGTTTAAAAGTCAACATCCCACCCAGCGATGGGAAGTGTTTACCCATCGATGGGTAGGTTACTGTTGGCTTCAAAACTGAAGGAAAATTGGCTTACCAGCGATGGGTAAGTTCTAAACATCGATGGGAAGCCAATATCCTGCAGATCCAAAATTTATTCAATTCCATAAATCAAGCCAATCATCCCTTTAATGTATTGGTCCATTGGAGCCTATTTTGGCACTATAAAAAGGGGTGTTTGGGTCAGCTTTTCTCACCAATTCACTTCACAATATTCATATTATCATTGCATTCAAACAACATCATTTTGCTTAGCTTTCTAGAGCCAATTTGTGAAGTTTGAGTTGTTCTTGAGCGTACTATCAAATGAGTAGTAGATGAGAATTTCTCTCAGAACAAGAACTCACAAATCACAACATATGTGCAATTCCCTTCGAACAAAGGGAACCAACATGCTTCCTTTCCATAAAAGGAAGCCCAACTTCAGAACCTCACGCCATAGAGGCTCGTTCACAACAACTCCGAGCACCGACTCGAGTTCTCAGGTTGTAACGGTTTGTCAAGCACCCGTAAGCTTAACGGAAGTAGTGTAGCTCGAGAGAGTCTCTCGGGAGACTGGATTAGCCACACGTTGTGGTGAACCAGTATAAATCTTGGTGTGCTCCCTTTACGCTTTCTACGCTCTTTACTTTTCACGTTCTTAATTTTTTATTCCTGCGATTTCTACAATCAAACGCTATTCACCCCCCCTCTAGCGTTGGTCACTTATTCTAACAAAGGCATAGAGATAGGTGAAGAAAGGGGATCGCTCCAATGGCGGATGAGTCTCCTTGAATTGTGAACTACCATAATTACGTAGAAAACATGTATAAATAGAGAGGACCTGAATGAGAATCCTCAAGCTAAACCTAGCAAATAAACATATAATTATCGAGTTCTTGTTTCTTGTTAATTCTTTTGATCCG